CCATGGTTTCCTGAGATGGCGCTTGGCTTACAGATGTCTGACTCAGACGATCGTCCATCAGGTCAAATCTCCTACTAACTGCGTGATATGCTTCCGAGTGATTGACTTGAAATGACTGCAAAAATGCACCAGGAATACGTCACAAGGTCGCTATCACAGACTTGACAAATAATTGACTTTGAGTCCATGAACTTTAGTAGTCAAACATTTATAAACGGATTAGCATTATCGATAAAGACAAAGGAGACCGGAACGGCCATTCCTGGCTTATGAGCCGTCGTCAGCCAGTCATACCCAACCCCAAAGTATGGAACACCTGGGGCTCGATCCCGCGACCTGTTGGCTGATGACGGCTAATAAGCCAGAAGTGGTCATTCCAGTCTTCCTTGTCTTTGTCCGTAATGATATTTTGCCCATATCACGCGCCCCTGTGCGGCTGCTGGCGGGGCTCGAGAGAGAGAGAGCCCGTAAGGCACAAGGGGACGAGTGAGTTCCGTAGTGCAATCGGTGAGTGCCCTCCTACCATTTATGAACGGTCAACCTGTCTACGACGGTTCATGCTGTTGAAAATCGACTTCGTCTAGAAAAACACATCCGTACATAGAGAAGTCCTCCAGAACCACATCATACCAATTAGAACGCATGACAGGGACCTTGGGTATGAAGTGTGCAGAAAATGCACCTCCCCACAAACAACGTTGACAGTACGCCTCCAGACCGATGCGTGGACGTGCCCGAAACAGTTGCCATAAAGTGATAACACGGGTATTTGTAGACGTGACTACCTAATTCAAGAGTAGTGGATTCCTAAATTAGATACAGAACTACAGGGCAGTGGTGACTTCATTGAATGCCCGGGTTACATTTGTTTCTTACGTATCCAAGCTTTACAATAGGCTAAAATATGCGCATAGCTAGGATAACCGTGTTTCTGGTGTTACTACTACAACTGGAACTACTATTACTACTGCTGCCGCCACATTGCTGAAATACATATTGGAGGGAAGTAAGAATTTATGTTTCCAGTTCGTTTAAGGTGTCCCAATGGCAGAATGCACTGAAGTTGCCGTGTAGACTAAGTACAAAGGTAAATTGTGCAAAAATGTGATGCCTACCAGCCATCAAACCTAATGCTTCAATGAGACTCAAGGCTTCAGGCTGGTGCAGTCGTAAGGAGCGATGAGGATCAGCCAGGCAGGCAGTTTCTACACGCAGGTAGGGCGTGCGCAAAGTCCGTGTAGGGTTGCTAATCAAGTGAACCTCTGTTGCGAGATTCACCGGGAGGCGTGCGGTATACAGCACTATAAGATTAAGGAAATTTTGACTGCGAAATACGCGTCGTCATGCGTCATTACGATAGCAGGGGCAGGACGGAAGTCACAGAAAAAACTGAATAAGCACAAAAGGGGTACCAGCAGCAGTAGACTAAATATATAATTGTCCGATGAAAACGTGATGAATACCGGAAAAATTCTAGGCACTACACTCATCAGACCAAGAGGCTGGCATTTTTTAATTTCTACTTTGACTGAAGTGAGTGCTTGGGTGGGATTCTATTTGCTGTGAATCGTTGGACTAGTACTGCGTGGGGTCCCTTAGACAAGTTCTGCCAGATGAATCCATATCCTCTGCAGCTGCTCCAAACCTCGCATGGTATCATAATTTCGTAAGGCTTTGAAAAAGTACACAAATGCTGCATAAACCCACACTTAATAACTCCGCAACCATACTCTTATTGTACGCACGCACCGAGCCTGCAAAACTAATCTACGGACTACTTTCGCGCATCTGAAAGTCATGCAAACTACGAATGATCCTAATTTGGTCTCAAGTACTTCTCCAGCCTCCAAACCAACCAATTCAGTGAGAGCCAGCTTCGTAATTGAATTACCTAAACTTAAATGTGGCTGTTGTGTGCCACGGTTTTGTGCTCCACGCGTGTGAAGTCCAGAGATATGGCGAACAAACAGCATAAACTCAAGGCGGCGTCGTACTTTCAGGTGACAATTTTGGTAGAAAAACATTGGATGCTATCCATAGAAACTTGGTACTGAGTAGAGATCAAGACTGGTGGAACACTGGAATCATTTTGCTACTGTTCTGAGTTTCGAACTCATGCAGGAGTCCATTGCCAGAAAAAACGGCTGCAACTAAACAGGCGACCGTGACTGAAAAGGTCTGTTGCGAGGAGTTGACTCCAAGCTAGCGTATTAATTTCCTCGCAAAGTAAACAAGGTAAGGTAAAACTGGAGTTCGTTTATCAGAAAACACAACGGGGAAGGCTAGGGGACCCATTGATGGGCCGAACCCCTCGCAGCTGCGTGAGGCAACGGCACAAGATCGGCTGAACACGAGTATCTGGGCTTTTAGCTAGTACCTATGTTGTCAGTATGGTAAATAATTACGCAGTTAACGATCCGTGATGCAGGTCTGGGGGTGAATGTGCAGGGTTCAGTGTGTCGGCGTCAGGCAGACACATCAATCGACAGAGTTCTCACCAGAGGCCCAGGCTTCAATCAATTCTCGGCTTGGCTGATAACCTGGGCCGTTCATACACAGCTTCGTCTGTTGTGGGCACTGACCTGTGTAGTGGTTGTTGCCTTCCCGCAAACCTTTGTCTCAGCTGACCGGCAGAACTTCGCCTAACAAGCAAATCAAGTATGGGAAGCTGCTGCTCATTTTCTCCCGTGAACTGAATACCAAGGAGGACTATGTTGAGGTAATGGAAAGTGCGGCATGCTCTTCCCGACGATAACAAAAGCATCGCGGGCGTAACGGCGCCAAGAGACTGGCTCATGCTGGGCTAATGCAATCCTTTCTAGCTACTTTAGGACCAACTACGCCACTAAACAGGAGATCGGGAAGCCCACTGAAGTTCCCTTGACTTACTCGTGGGTTTCCAGCGGAAACGAAGCAAGATTTCTTTGGCAAAATTCGAACTGCCTCATGGGGCTCTTGAGTTCCATCGTATGTATCTTCAAGTCCCCTGAGCAGGATTTCATGCGCCAAATTCGGTGGGATGGATGTGAATAAAGAGAGCATGATTTCGTTCAATCAGAACTTGACACTGGTTTGGGTGCAGCCCTCCTCGTTGCATCTTCCGTGAAGAAAAATTATGCCAGCCAGTTGGACGCGTAGGCGTGTAAAAAAAAACATGATTCCAAGCGCGCAGGCCCTATCGCACGGGCGGAATGCTGCTGCCTAGGCCAGACGCGCACACGCAATGGCAGCTTTCGCCATGTTTTGAACTTGTAAGCCGAGGCCTTTGACAACATCCTCACTCATCCGACCCAGCTGTGAGAAATTCGGCGGGGCTCGAACCCACGACAGAAAGTGCACGACTTGAATGCGACCAAGGCTGGATTCCATAAGTTGCAGTAGGCTGGGTGGACAACTTGACCCAAATGCGATCAAACTGACGACTCCCTGTCGGGGCCTCGTAACTCAGGCGGCTACAGCGCTGACTGCATTCAGGCACTTGTTGTAGCGGTTTTGAACTCCACCGAGTTTTCAAAATTGTGTCAGGCAAACTATGGAAATCTGAGAAAAACACCTATTAGCACCCTTGTTGTCATGCGAGGGTGGTGTCTATCGGTCTAATTTGAGTTAATAATGCACCACGGGCGTTCCCAATTAAAGTCCACACGGGCGGTAGCATAGCGAGAAAATCAATCCTGAGATGTCCCGCCATGCAGCTGGATAAGTCAGTCAAATGTCTGAAAAGTCCCTTTTGGGTAAAAACGCCCTTTTCGACATCGAATTATTCGATCGGAAGACGTTAGTAGCAAATAATTTAGCACTAGCCGTCAGAAGTCTAGAAATTGCCTCGAAAAATGCAGTCGCGCATCCAGGTCGATGTTTATTCTGAATTATTATTAAACCGAACTTATGATAATGGTCTATTCTCCTGTACTATTACCTTCGACCGTCGGTGAGCACAAGTAACGTAGTGGCGCACATTTTATTCCAATTACACCTATTAAGTGCTCAAGTACCTCCCAACACAGAAACCGCAATAAGTCAACTTCTGGATAAGATAACAAGCACTACACATTTAGTCGACCCACTAACTCCTCCCCGCCTCCCAAGCATCCTGTCCAGATGGTAAACGTCAATCCCACGTGACTTGCAGTTTGCCTGAAAGCACCAGGCTCCATGAGGTGAAGCCGGGTTACAATCTTTAGTCCTTCCACTCATACAGATGACTGGATGACGACGGAAACCACTGCTACAGTTTCTCTAGTCATACTTCTTGATCGTTGACAGCGTCCTGCTATCCGTTCCAGGGGTCGGTGAAGGGGGTTTGGAAGGAACAAAATGAGGGGGATGTCAACGGCAGAATGCCCGCAGATCAGTGGCAGCTTGCAGAACTGGAATCCTGTCGCCACATAATTACCATACAGAGAGCTTACTGCCCTACCTGTTCAATGACAGCCTCCCCCCTCCCCCAATTTACACATTCCCCGTCGAGTGAAAACAGGCGCCGAAACTCATAACGCAAGTGGCAGGGGTCTAAGCACAAGAATTCCCCTGGGGAAAGCTGAAAGGTGAAAGCAAATGTGCGGACGCCAAACACAAAGGCGAGTACATACAGACACGCAATAGGATGGCCTGGGGCTATGCAAAAAGCCACCTTAAATGGATGAGGAAGGGCGGTAGAAATAAAGAAAAAAATGACTGTCGTTTCAGTAAAAAAAGTTGTATTTATTAAAATAGTGCATGCAATTTTGGACAAAAATGTAAAAAGGAAATAGGGCGGTCGCGATAACGACTCTAGTGCAAGTGTTCTGCTTGATGAAGATTCTTGTGCGGTCCATATGTGTGTGTATGTGCGCGTTAACGACAATAGGTGAAAGTGTAGTTCGAAAGAGATACAGTCTTTCGTCTCGAATGTATGGCGGCGGTAGTATGAGTAATAGCGGAAAGGCGGACGGTTCAGCTGCGAGACGTAAATCACGGCGTTTGCTGTGCGGGGAATGGCGAGACGCCCAAAACACTGGCTACTTGAAGGCCTGGGCTGCCATGTGCTTAGTGACCATGCCAACGCCAGGAGTCGGAATGAGCGGTTCGTCTTTCTTGGGCTTCGGTTTCCTAGGACACGAACAAAAAATGCAGCAGTGTATGCAGAAAAGGAAAGACAGTGCAGTCATAAACATCTCACACCATAGTTAAGAAGAACATGCAGTAACTGCTTGGAAAAGCTATCAAAAAGCGTAGGTTCGCGTGGATTAGCTTACGGTGATAGTGGACTTGCGATGCATCGACCGCACTCTCTCCTCCTCACCCATCCGAAGCCGGTGTCATGGCCAAGTCAGGAAGACCGCTGATGAGAGGGGACGTAGATGGCTGGTGCGGCGTGAGGCCGCACCTAGGTGTGCACTACACCCCACGTATGGCATTTGTTACGGGTCTGCATGCCCAATAACGGCTGTAACGCCCTGATCTGGCCATCGTGTTGGACCAACGCACCTACTGCGTGTTCCTTATTAGGGGCACGCGCAGCGTAATCAGAGTCATAATGGACGCCAAAGACTGGTTTAATCTTGCTGACTCACAGGAGCGAGCTAGGGTGAGGTGGTTTGTTTATATACGTGTGTGTACTGTGCTCCCCGAACGGGCCACGTGGTAGATGCGCTAAACCAACACGGGGGTCATATCGGATTTGCACACCATAACCAATTCCAACATTTCGGGGTGCGGTGGCAGACCCAGTTGCCGACAGACTTCGCGCACACTGAGACCCCTGCTGCCTCCCCCCATTGCTGTTGTTGGTCAAAAACCTGGTCATTTGCTGTGTGGACCAGGGAGTGTAGAGTGGAGCGCCAAGGTGCGGGCTCGACCGCGCCATCCACCTGCGCCCTCCTCTGCCTCCGGTCTTCTTGCCTCTGTCTTGACACTAGGTCCAGGTGGGGAGGAGGGAGTGCGGCAGATGCTGTGCAAGTCCACTATCACTATAAACTAATTCACGCACAAGTCACCGTTCCTGCTTCCACCCTGCTGCGGGGTATACGGTGGACATCGTCGGAGTCGACGGTCGAACTGTCGTGTGTGTACCGAAATGACGCACTTAAGGCGTTTGTAGTTGCGTCTTGTGTGCACTCACAGGTTGTGGGTACCATTTTATTGCCGGGAGGACGAAAGAGGCGACTGCTTCTATTGATCTGCAGCCAAAACGTCTGATTAGGTACTCTACGATCTACCCCTTGGATTGCCAAATAATTCAGTCTCAGTGGTCAAACAAAACAATAAAATATGTACCGAAACTCATAAGGCTCAGGTGGCTAGAGAATTGGCTGCACTAACGCCTTCCCCTTGAGGTCGTGGTTTCGAATCCCACCGAGGCGCGAGTTTTTCACAGTTGGGTCAAAATGAATCAACGTGAGCTTTGCCCATCCTTTCGTACGAATGTCAATGTTCATTGAGCGGTTCGGCTACCGACTTCTGCGCTTCTCCGATCGGAAGCAGTAGAACAGTACCCGCAGGATCGCATTTGCATTATCCTCACACAATATGCGTTCTTTAAGGTGGAAACGTCCGTTCGCAAGCGTGTTTTGTGCAAATTAAGAAATCCGGCAAACTTCGTGCTTCCTCAGAATCAACCCATGTATTCCTCTGTATAAGGTGTGTAAAACATGGCAATGATGATAAGATGAAGCAAATGGTTTGCATTTGATAGCGCCAAAGTAGTCCCTGTGACAATGGCTGCTTCTAAATTGTCTTCAGTCGCTGAAGGCAGCGTACAGGATGGGGATTGTCTCGGAGTTTCGTGAATACGTTCGGGTTCGCTTTTTGAGCATTCCTCCTTCGGAACATAGCCAGTAGGTTGCCGTGAAAACGGAGACCACAAAACCTTGCTTCGCTCACAGATAGAATACCATTCCGGCGATTTTATCGCACAATAAACTTACTGTCTAAGATGCTGGGCTATATGGAGCCGCGGAATATCATGGATAGGTCAGACGAAGCTGCAAGAGCTGCCAACTACTAGCGCTCAAACTGCAGACTCAAGCAAGAAGGGTCCGGCAACAACCAACGACGAAGATACCAAGCAACTAATGGGAAGGCGATGATGTAGCAAAGGGATTCGGAAGCGCGTGCCCACCAATGACGGACAGTAGAACGGTCGTTCATCAGGGCTTGCTTCCAGACAAGCATAGGGGCACGGAGGGCTGCGGACTGCAACCGCCCGTCTTATAGTCTCCTCAAGCCAGTACATTTGTATTGGGGCAGGGTAATAATAGTCAATGTTAGGGACGGGATGAGAGCGGATGTGCGCGGAGGGTTGCACTTAGTTAGTTAGCTTTTGACCGCAGTAGGCGCGGAGCCTAAACGAGGTTCTTGAGCGTGCAAAAAATCGGGTTTCGTAACCTGATGGCGGCCACTTCTGCTGCTGCTGATAACAGGCGCTGGTCCAGCAGCTTAGGGTGGATAGATAGGACCTCATAAATCATGCGAAAAGCTTCGACGAGATACACGCAATGCCCCGACCAAATCAGTGTCCATCTGCTCCTTCTCTTGCTCCTATGGAGCAGGTTATATTGGTCGCACTAGTCGGGGACTATTCAAGAGAGCACCTCCATATATGGCTGGGCAAAGAAGAAAGTAGGAACACAAACAGCGTCATTCTCGCACGTGTTGCTGGTTTCAGGTATCATGTGGACTCCAGCGGAGCCTTTTGCGTGATCTGTAAGGTTCCTCCAAGCTACTAGGCCTGCGTCTGTTAGTGAAGGCAGAAGCGGCCGCCACTAGGCAACGAAAGCCGATCTTATGCGCGCAGAAGAGCCTCGTTCAGGCTCCGCGCCTACCGTAGCCAAACGTCAACTAGTTACGTGTAACTCTGCGCGTCCCTGGCGTTGACCGTTATTACCCCCTCCCCTCCCCTCATATTCCCACACCCCGCTTGTATTCTAAGACGAACCTTAATCGATTTCTCTGGTCACCGGCATGCTTTACGTCTACCCTATTCCCATATAAGTGGACTGACTTTACGAGGATTTATCAAAAGCAAACGTATGCTCGAAAAGTGGCCTTCTGAATACTGGCATGGGGATCTTCGCAACTATAAAAAGTCGCAAAGCTCAGTTACGGCACTGTGACATGACGACCGCAAACCTACTCTAAATAAGTTTGCCTACCACCGTTGCCCCGCAGTTAGGCTTTTGAGACGAGCCGCTAGAGGAGACGACCTCGAACCTGCAATTCGGATGGCTGTTTGGGTCCGCCTGTACTCAAAGTCTCTAGAAGACCTCACACACAAAGTCGATAGTACTATTATGACCAATGCTACGGCGTTCGCGGAAACTGATGAGGCTCGCAACAATGGTTCAGTAGTGCGAGAGAATACTATGCGGGCCGGACTAATTAATCAGAAAAGGAACCATTGATATTGAATACTGGAATGTGCGGACGTTCCTCAACCCCCGCACACAAACTCCGACGCAACGCAGTCTTTGCCCGCAGGAAGTGGAAGTCCGAATCCTGGAATCTCAATTCAGGTTCTCGACAAATCAAGATCACCTCCCAGTTCCCCTTCAATAACGGTGGCCCACGAGACTCATCTGGTAGACACGGTGTGGCGGTCGTCCTCTGGCACCAAGCGAATGGTGCGCTGGTTAAAAGTGAATCAGTCAATGACAGGGTTATTACGAAACCATGAAAGTCCACATAGATTAAATCAATGCCCCGATTATCTAATAAGCTTCGTCTTAGGGCAAGGCATGTAAGAGACTGCCAAACTCTCCGAGATGGCTAAGAAACGCTTGTCCCAAAATTTGCTGAATGTGAAAGAATAGTAGACAAGAGAGAATTTACCCGACGATACGTTCGGCCTGACTCTGGGCAACAAGCATACGGCTTTGATTGTCGTCGGCCTGCGAGAGAAAAACAAGTGAGCAACCAGTACATTTTCAAAACACACTGAGAAGCAAATTTATCTAAAAGAGCCAGAGTAGGAACGCAAAACATTTGGCGTTAATACAATCGGGTCGGCTAAACCACGAAGTGAATTACCCACCTTGGAATATATGTCGTCCAATTTTCGATTATGAACGTTGATCTCGTTGTTCATGTCCACAGCCATTGAGCGTAGTTCACCCACAACATTGGCTACATGGCCCAAATTCCGGTCCATTTCGTCCTCCCTTGCATCATTAGTGATACTGCAAATGGGGATGAAATAGTAGTCTTAGGACTGTTGCAAAGTGCGCGATCGCCGACACGCAGGATGCGTCTGTTCGAAAAAATAAGTTGGAAATCCTGCTTGGGCAGTCAGCGCACTGCATCATATTTGGAGGATTCCAGACGGCGCAGTAGGTTGGGCAGGTTACTTGACCCCAATGCGATTAAACTCGCGTCGTCGGGCGGGGCCTCGTAGCTCACGTGCCTTCCCCTAGCTGCCGTGGGTTCGAATCCCACCGAAGCGCCGAGTTTTTCACAGTTGGGTCAATACGAAAAGTTCGAAAAAGGCAGAAATTTCTACAATCCTGACAGCTCAAACGCCGCGAGCGACACCGTGCCGCCATGTGTCCCACGGACTGGGCGCAGAAACGGTGACTTGGGTGTGAATCAGTTTACAGTGACAATAGAGTTCTAGAGCATCTATCGCACTCTTTCCTACCTCACTCACCCAGCGCAGTGACTACCAAAGCTAAACAACCCGCCTAGGCGTGCCATACATAGCCTGGTCACCTTATAGACAACTGCGGTCTACTCTGGACATTCCGGATTGTCCGCGGTCAAGGTTGCTCATTAAGAGCGGAGTTTGCTCGTACAAACCAACTACGCGACCATGCCTACAAAGTCAAGAATGAGCGCACGCGGTCAAACCGTAGAAAGTGTTCATTCAGCCAGCGGGTTGTCTGACCGTGGAACTCGCTTCCAAGCGAGATGGTGACGGCTGACACAGTTTGTGTGTTTAAAATAAAACTTGCTCGTCTAGTTTTCGACAGAAATCGGATTGTACAGCATGACTATGCACACCCAGTTTTGTAAAATCTGTCATATACAATCTTCCGCACTAATTTACAGTGACCTTATGCACTACCTTATGACTACGATTGAACTGCGACCCGATCACATTGTAACTGCCTGCAATTTTACTTTTAAGTACGAATTTGCGAAAGCACTGTAAATAAATAGGGTCATCAAGGACTCTGCCTCTAACCCTCCAAATATGTACATACAATATGCATACATTCATACACAGAGCGCATCGCGCTTTTACCAGGGCGACTAGGACCATACATGTGTACATTTGTGTCATAAAGATCACAGTAAGGGGGCCTCTACAGACTGACCTTCAGTCCTGAGAAAAACCGAGTCATCACACTACTTGACAATCAAAGCACGAATCTTAGCGCATCGCGATCGATTCAAGCGCGCCGGTGCCGTGGAGATGGATTCCCCTGTCGGCCTAACTCTTTTACCTCTTCCGTGCACCAGTCGACTTTCCGCGCCTGTCAAACAGCTGACGCTGGAATTGGACACGGTGGCCGACGTGCCGTGAAAGCCTACATCTAGACGTGCCACCAAACCCGCCGGTGTACGGCAGTGGTAAGAGTGGCGTAGCACTGACTCCGAGGACATCCGCTTAGGCGAACGGCGGGAGCGATGGGTCACCGACTGTCCCTCCCTTCCCCAGGCACAACGCGTTAACCTGGGCTGACGTCATGTGGCTCGGAAGAGGCGGAGGGGGGAGGGGTGAGCAACAGTCGGAGAACGCGAGCAAGTCAGAAGTACTCTGGTAGTGGGACAGAACGCACTAGGGCCCGTGGCTGAGGTTGTCCCTTAAAAATTGCGGTCACATGTATTTAGAACGAAAATTAAATGGCATTTTTGAGTCAGTACGTTGTTATGATTCAGCCGTTGTCACTGTACTTCATAAAGTGATTACTATCATATCTAAAAGTGAGACTGTCTCACATCTACTCCGGAACTTCCCAAACACAAACATTATCACGGAAAAGGAGAACAGTCCATCCGTGTTTCTAAGCGCCCTTGTAAACCAAGATGAGAACCAGATGCAGGCATGACAAATACATACAGTCATCAGCGTTGGAGCTCGCACAGGTGGTTTTAGGAACAGAGATATGTCCCAGGATCAACAAAAGGTAGGGGGCGATACTAGCATCACCTACGACGCAGAAAGTCCTTGCGGTCTTCAGATGGTAGAATAATATGCAGATGGCGACTGAGGACTCCCCCTTGGTTCAGTAGTGTGGACTTGTCAAAGGCCTGGGACCAACCGAGAGAATAGCACGATAGCATGTGCCACAGCTTTTTCTCGTATCTATTTGCAAAAGTAAGGTTATGGCACACTAGGCAGCGGAATTTTCAAGGCAGTTGCCTGATACTCTGTGGTACTGGATGTCAAACAGTTAACAGTGCAATGAATCACTGAGGTATTCCAGGGTCCGAGTCTTGATGGCGTCTACATAAAGGACGGGTAGTTTGATGGATGTTGGAAATAAATACTATTGCGAGGACTGAAGTCCGTGAAAAATTGAACTTTAGAACGGAATACGGAAGGCAAACAGCCAGAAGTAGTCATTCCAAACTCCATTTTCTTTGTCCATAATACACCTTGGTGCTAGTTCTGCCTATGAATTCGCGAACGCATTGGTAGGGAAAGGGCTGACTAGAGCAGAAGCGCGGGACCACGGGCACATGGCGGAGCCGTCAACAAGTCAGCAGAGCGCTCCGATCGACCGCAGCAGTGTGACCGGTAGTTAAAGCTCGAGTCTTATTGGCTGTTGACGGGAGGCAGGAGAGCGCTGATTGGCTGGATCGCCAAGGCCGCAGTTGCAACGCCCGCCTGCTTTCCGTGAGCGCGTGCGCGCGCGCAGACGCAAAATGGCGACGCTGCAGATCCGAAAGGAGGAGTTCGACGAGTTGGCTACATGCGCCTTCTGCTTGTCACTGTGCAAGACCCCTTCCGTTTTACCCTGCCAGCATTATTTTTGCGAAAAACCCTGTTTGGAGCAGTATATCGGACAAAGTAACCTTGTTTGCCCCGTCTGCAGTCGCCAGTTCACTGCCGATCAGCCACAGCCATTCCGTTTCTTTAACCAGCTGCTTGAGAAGCTGAAACCTGTGGAGGAGAAGGTCGAATGCCCTGGATGCAGTCGGCATTTTCGTCGACTCCAATACTGCCCGATTACGCAGCGGAAAGTGTGCCGTGACTGCGCTCAGCGAGCCAGACGGAGAGTTGAAGCCGAGGCACCGTCGTCCGCAGAACGTGCAACTGTCTGCTCTAAATGGCCATTGTGCGGGGATGCTGACTGCCCAGATGTTCATCCAACCGGATTTTGTCAGAATATAGGATGTTATGGCACAGAGTACTGTCGGAAGATGCACATGGATGAGCTGAGACGTTACCTCGCTGCCGGACCTCGCCGGCAGATCCAGACATCAAAAAAGCAGCAAGAAAAGGCTGCCATCACCGCCTGCTCCGCGGAGCCTCCGTCCAATCCGCCTTCTCAAACCTCCGCTCTAGCCTCCACTTCATCGACGGCAAAGGAGACCCGCCGAACAATTTGCACAGAGCTTACCTGCCTTGGTGCTCCAGCCTGCAAGAAACTACACCAGTGTGATTTATCCCAGTTTCTAAATGGGGCCGCTTTTTGAGGCCACGGTGTATTCGCTGCCTACCAATGACATTTTCCTACGTTCTCCGTCTGTAACCAGCTACTCTCTGAAGTTCAGCTGTCCTTGCACATGGTCCCATATCCACACTTGTGGACTACTATATCTGCATCCTGTAAGTAGTCGCAAGGCAGTTAGAATGATTGATTACGTATATATGTTTACATTTACGATACCAAGGTTGTTTTACTATTGGGTTGCGTCGAGAAAGGACAGACAACGGTAGGTCCTGGGTGCGCAGGGTTTTTTTTCTTCGGGAGTATATCAGACTCAGCTCGAACTTGTACGGAAAAGGGTGAAGCAGTCAAGTGGGGTCATTGCTGTAGCAGCTGTGATTGCTTCACCAGGTGCAACGTTGAGCAGGAAGCAGGAATCCCTTTCAGTGCGACAGTTGATTACTAGGTGAAGTAGCGGGGAGTCTTTTTAATGTGGAGTTTTTTTAATATCCTCAGAAGCCAACCTTTTTAGGCTCCGCCCGAAAGCTGGGCTGAAATCTATCAGCTCCAGTGGGGTAATCGCCAACAGGTAGTCGGCAGTCTACATACCTAGTATCCTGCAGCTGCGAAAAATAGGCGAATTACCCGTGTCTGGACTTTTACCTAGTATCTGTGCTGGCCGTTTGGTTAAGCACTTAGTTTTGACTGCCTTGTGGACATTTTAGTTGACCTTCAACGAATGCCGAAGAAGCATACACAGCTTTTTCTGTCGCCGACCATTGAAGCCCATAGTACTGCCAGTCGGTCCATTGAGAACCCCGTTGGGTATTATAAATCCTGGTTTGCGGGCTCTCGTTTCGACGACCGAATGCTGCCAACCGATATCCGACCGGTTGGTTGGCCGTCGCTGTGGCCTAGGTGAGCAAACGAAGACTTGGCGATAGAGTTGCGAACACGGCCTATTCCTCACTCACAAAGGGTGAGCGACGTCTTGTGACGCAGTGTCGTTACGAAAAGGGGATCACGAGTAATGACGTTAAACGAACGATAAATTGTCGATCGGCGTCGCGCCTGCAGGGTCCCAATCGGACTACTAAACAAAAAAACTGGCTCGAAACGCCGATTTACTGTAGAAAAAAGCCTAATAGTTTTCGCAGTCTTCCATAAAGTCGTGTTCTACGTCCTGTACTTCACAGGAACATGTTTAATTGCCCTTATAGAAGGTGCGGGGAAGTCTGTTTAAGTTAGATCACGTGAAGTTATCTTGGTGACCTTAACGGTTCTTACGGAAGTCCAACCCTCTCGTTCTCGAACGGAGACACCAAATAATGGTAGTTTCTTCTCTCGAGTCTATAGAATTGTGAATTTCATTGTTATCTGTGAGTCATTCGCTCTTGTAGGTGCGTTATATGCTTGAAGTCTTTGTGGTTGGTAAGGTTCAGAACACCGCTGTTGAGACAAATTCAGCAGACTTTCATCTGCCCGTAAAGCTGGCTGTCCAAATGACGTTTTACGCCTGAGTGAACAAATTAACAAGGGCTATCGGTAACAGGCCCGACTACACTTTCATCTCATTGTTCATTCGCAGAGATGCCCTCCCGGTGATACCGGACTGATTAAGTGCGCGCTCGCAGCCGCCGGAGGCTATCAGTGTTAGAGTCGGTCTGAGAGAGATGGTGGTTTGCATTTTCGTTTGAGAGGGAGACTTTCTACTGACCGAAAAAGCACCACCCCGTCCGATAAGGTCAGTTGAGAATCTTCGATTTAATACAGTCAAAAAAGTCGGGGGTATTTTTGTCGATTAGAAAAACAGGCTCGAATCACGATTTAAAGGCGGTATAGCCCTAGAAGTCGGGAATATGCTGGAAACCCTTGGGCAGCAAGGTGTGGTATGTAGTCCTCTTGGGAAGGCTGTACTTAACTAAAACCCTGACGCCAATCGTGGCCATGCTTGTAATGGGTAACTTTAACCTGTAAGCCGTTAACGAGAACTCTAAGGTAACCGTAACCCCAGTCTAAGCCTTAGAACCTATCTCCTGACCCAAGACTTGCAACCCCAGCTCGGAAAATAACCCAACTCCCAACGTTAATTCTAATTGTAACCCTCCAGCCCGATACGGGTAACTGTAACGTCAGTAACGCTAGTGAAGGTCGAAATCCGCGTCTCCAATAGTCCCCTTCTCGACCTATTGCTAGGAAAACCGTTATGAACCCCAACTACCTAAATGAGGCAGATTTTTGAATAACCACCTAGGGCGGGTTTCATACCCTACCCTCATCATCATTAGCTAGAAACCCAGTCTCGTTTGGATGAATGCGTTATTAAACTACTGGTGGGACTACCCAAATTCGTGCTCGACGACGGCAAGGGGGATAACATCGTCTGCTTCTCGACCATTGGGTCATGCGCACAATTAATGTACTCCTAATGACAAGCTCACCTATCACATTAGTTGACCGAACATATACCTGCCCAGACTTTATTGTTAGTAGAAGTAAATATTTTAAATCATGTCGGTTTGGCAGTTCAAGCTAGTATGCGGTGAGCCAGAGAAGTTTGTGACTGTCACCTCTAAACGCTGACGTCGAACTGTTCCGCAGTAGTGAAGCTAGTGAACGTTGAGCCGTTTGAGTGGAGTAGTACTGTTCATGCTGTCGAGTGTGCTCTGTACCGACTGCTCGAATTGGACAACAGTCAAGAACCACAGTGCCCAAAATTCGCCTACAAGAATACAATCAATTGGTGTGGCGGTCCTCCCGTAACTTAGACCTCCCACCAAAAGGTGTTCATTTCGGTGCCGAAACCTGGAGCCAGGCACGACCAGCCTTCAACAAGTACTAGCGGCCAGTCGCTACTATCATATCGGTGGCCGGTGGCAAACTTGGTGAGGACGCGGTGGGTCGTCAGGTCGCCTCTGTCAGGATGCATTCAAACATGCGGCAAAGGAAACGTAATGATGGACATATTTTTTTGTAGACGGTCGTCTAACCCTCCTCATTCGCGTAGATTGCCTGAGCACAGGGAGCGATTGCACTTGCGTTGAGGGTTGCACAGTTTGGGTACTCGGAGAGAGACAGGTTTATACGTAATGGGCGTCCTATTCGCCTTCTGGCGAGGTCAATATGCAAGGTCATGTCCGCTGGTTTCGGGGTATGTACAACGGTGACAAAGGTGGTAGACGATGCCAGATCTCCTAGTACCGCACTTTGACGTGCGAACAATACCGAGTAGTTGAGAGGGGCAGGCATCGTCAGTCGCTGTGTATCTATGCATGTTTCGGAAGGTAGTGCAATTTATTTTTACGAAAGGATTAGAGTTCACATATATCCTGTCCTGGCAATTGGTGGAGGTCAGGACGTTTTCGTTCTCGCAGACACTGTACCATAAGTCGTACCTTATATGTTTAATTCCGTTGCACTTCGAGGGGAGGTGGTGAACGTGGGGTTCCAGGTGGGGCCCTAAGTAATATCTCCTCTCAACGAATTTGGGCTGCCGAGAACGCCCTTGCCGTTGGGAGGAACCTCAGTCAGACGGCATCGTTTTGTATTCTGTGGAACGACCGCACTTTGGTCACTCTCTGAGTTCATTCTCTTGTGAAATTCCGTTAACAGTTAAATTGCACGAGGATGGGCGACTCGATCCTTTGGTCTTACGTTAACCCTCTAGTTTACTGGGGTGCCAACACGAAGGCACGATATATAGTTTCTCGAGAGATGTGTGTCCAGTTGTGGAGAGGTTGTACCCACTAAAAACATGCACCGACAAGATGCGGCGAAAATGCGGGCTTCCCCAAGTTACTCTATTTGGCTTGTTATTATGGGAAAGTAAAACAAATAACCACTAAGATCGAGTTTCGGCATTAAGCGTAGGGTCGAAGCGCTGTCAGGGCAAGCAAATGCATGCTGGGCTGGCTCTGATAGACAAAAATCCCGTGAACGGCTGTCAGGACCAATATGTACTGGAAAACGTGGAGGGGGGGGGGAGTTCGGCATTAATCTCGTGCGAAGAAGTAATTAAGCATTTAGTGCAGAATCTATGAGGTAACAGTCAACCGAGGACACATAAATAGAGGGTAGAACAGTAGGGTATTATTTCTCTAAGATAAATTACCTTTTGAGGAAGAAATGAGCACCAGCGCAACAAGTCAGAGCATCAAGAAGGATGTGGTTGTGGGCTGCATTTCTCAACAATAGATCGCCCTGCTCCCAATTCCCCTGTCGAAGGACTATAAGTACTTGGTTATAGCTACTACCCTGCTGCCTCGTCTCCGGTCAAAGCCTAGATTAAACCAACAAAGGTGCCCACTAATCAATCATTACAGATGTCAGCTGTGGTTTGAGCGCTAAAACATTAAACGGTCCGGGCCAGAAATGAATCCGGCTGGAGGAGCCTTTATGTGCATTCTGCCTGGAAACGATAACATGGTAGCAAGCGGTTATGCTTTCATCCGGAATGATTATACATTAAGAGCCGCGAAAGATCATTTGCTGTTAGCTGGGCTTCTTCGAAGTCGGCATGAAACAAAGGAAACCGTGTCACCGCACGAAAATAATCACAAAAGGATACATAATTAGCAGAATTCAGGACAAAAACGCAACAAGCGGTTGTACTGATCTGTCGTAAAATGCTGTTCTAGGAACGAGCTACCTGTAGGCAAGGCTAATTACCGACTGCCAGTAACTGTTAACAGGCTGCTACGAGCCCCACGTCGCTCGAAGAGTAACTTGCAGTAATTGCTGCACCAAAAGCCAACGCGTTAAGGAGACGAAGAAAGAAGATTATCGAAACTGTGCGAAGACAGTTACTTCTTTCCTTTTTACCTAAAAGCTACTGGGGGTGCATGAACTGTTTTTGTATCTTGGCTTCTTTGTGATGACTTCCAAGGTTTGAAGACACGTCCATAGAATGTTTTCGCATTGTGATGAGGACAATAACACGGCAATAAGTTGGAGAGAATGGGATAATCGCCAATTCCCAGAGTCAAAATTTCGGGAAAAGCTGGTACGTTAGAGTTCTTACCGTTGAATGTAGCCTGGCTGACTTGTAGCTTGATAACGGATGGCGACATTAGGATCGCCTCTGCCGTCTGACCCGTCCCAGGCCTTTGGTAATCCGTTTTGCGGCTGGTTGTACTGCTTTGGTTTGAAGTGCTTTTCTTTCCCCGGCCTTTTCACTCTGTTTACAAAAACATTCAGATCGCCGTGCTCAATTTCGTAACAAAACAGTTACTTAATAAGTTTAAGTAAGAAGGTTCATGGTATTTAAAAATCACTTTTTCCATGGCAGGACGAAAATTCCGCAGCATTTCTCCAGATTGTCCAGCTCGCGCTCAGCTTCTTTCAGGTCGTTGTGAATGGTGTCCATATTCTCATTTATACGGTCGAGTTGCTCTGAAAGGAAAGATGGGAGTAAAAAGTCAAAGACGGCTGGCACGCACCACGCAGTGAGTTTTCTCGGGCCGCACGCTCCACATAAAAGTGACGAGGCTAAAAAATGAGATCATTAGACACCGCTGTGGCCCGATTCTTTGACCCGCCAAAGATACACAAACCAGGTGTGCTACTGCAGTCAATTCTTACCCTAAAAACAAAGTGAGTGTACGCAAAAACTGAAGTTTCTCCAACGCAATTTGATTGCCTCGGCGCAACCAGCTTCCCAAGTCATTTTAGACCTCAAAGGTCATAGGTCACGGCCTGCCCCGCGTGACGTCTTTATTCAAATACATCCCACAGCATTTGGCGCACGAAGCCCTGTGCAGGAGACTTGAGGGGTATACGACGGAACTCAGAGCCCCATGAGACAGTTTTGAATCTGGCCAGAGAAATCTTGCTTTATCTTTGCTGGAAACCTATGAATAAATCAAGGGGACTCCAGTGGGCTTCCCAATCTGCAGTTTAGTGGCAAATTCGGCCTCAAAGGAGCTAGCAAAGACTGCATTGGCCCAGCATGAACCCGTATATCGGCGCCGTTACGCCGAAGACACGTTTGTTTTCGTCAATAAGAGTATGCTGCACTTTCCACAACCTCAACATAATGATACTCAATTCAGGAGGAAAAAGAAAGGGAGCAGCAGCTGTCCTTCCTTGACGTTTTCAGGCAAAGTCCTGACGGTAAAACTGAAACAACGGCTTAAAGGAAGACAATGACCACTTTAAAAGTCACTGTCCACAGCAATCATCAGATGGTTCGCAGGCGAAACAGTGTATGAACACCCTTCAAATGGGTCCAGGCTCACTGCAGAAACTCGAAGGAAACAGCACGTTAGATGCGATGTCTCTGCGACCAATTTATGCGGAATGACTACCCGAAAACCTTCATAAGCCGATGCTCACGCGTTCGTCCCTAACGGACTCCACCGGAGACACTGACAGTCCGACTCGAATTCGACGACGTCCACCGTGCGCTTCACAACAGGTTGAGAGCAGGGACGGTGACTTGCGCGTGAGTCTAAAGTGACAGCAGACTTGCGCAGAATCTCCCACACTCTCTCGTCCCCCACCTGGATCTGGTGTCAAAGTGGAGTCAAAAAGACTGGAGGCGGGAGAGGACGCAGGTGGCTGGCACGGGGTAAACCAGCACCTAGACGTACCACCACACCACCTGGTCCACAACGGACAGCGGCCAGGATTTCATAACACAACAAATTTGTTATAGGTGCGCATTCCCGATAACGCCCAGCGGATTCCAAGCTAGTCCCTAAAACGGGCCACGCAGTAGGCGTGCTGGACCAACACAAAGGCTAGAAATAACATTGATAAGGCATGCTGTCCGCAGATGGCTCTTGTCCTTCAATTTGACCAAATGTACCATACTGCGCCTCGGAAATCAGACCCCTAGTACGCGGCAATACCATCTGAACGGAATACCACTTCGAGAAGCAGAAACGCAGAAAGATCTCGGAGTCTGGGTTGCAGACAGCCTTAAGCCTTCTGCGCAATGTTGTAAGGCGGCCAAGGCCGCAACTTCAATGCTATATACCATCAAGCGGGCATTCGCAGTTTTCGATAAAGACTGCTTCTCCAAAGTCTTCGGCACGTTTGTAAGGCCGCACCTCGAATATGCAATTCAGGCCTGGAGACCATGGACACATCAGGATTACAATCTGCTCGAAAGGGTGCAGAGGCGAGCCACAAAATTAGTAAGAGGTCAAAATGCACTGCCAAACGAGATCCGCTTAACTAACCTTAATCTCCATCCTCTGAGTTATAGGCAGTTGCGCGGAGACTTGATACAAACTTTCCGTATCGTGCGTGGCTTGGACTGCGCCCTTCGGTGCGATGAATTTTTCCAACTCGCCACAACAACTAACCTCCGGGGACATCCCTTAAAGCTACGTGTGCCCCAGGGTAGATTGAATGTGAGAAAATATTCCTTCTCCAATCGTGTCGTGAAACCGCGGAATAATCTGCCCGAGACGGTTGTCATGTCTCAATCTGTGGCGACATTTAAATGTAGACTTGACAGACATATGCTACAGCACCAAGCGGACTATGTGACTTTTTAGCCATGAGACCAGTGACATATGTGAATCAATGTCAGCATTCACTTACTGCTATAATTTCTTCACATTCTGCTAATTTATCGATTTTTTTATGTACAAATAGGGAGTTCAAAGGCGTAAGCCTATTTCCCTCAAATACACTGACTGACTGACACTTTCACTAGGCCTCATTTATCAAAGTGTGGTAAGTGCAAAGACAGGGTATGGAAAATGATCTAATGGACAAATATCCAGTTGCTATTTGAAGACGTATCGAGTGTACTCGGTTACAGGACACGGGGATCCGGATTCACCACTGACTCCGACACACAAGGGCACCACTGCGTCAAGTTTGTTCTGTACCATCTGTGTGTTTGGCACACGTAGACGGGATGTCGAGTTCTGTCAGCCACTTGCGCCCAATTCCCGCGTCAGATGATTTACCGGCCCGAACAGGGGACTGGTGTCTGGGAGAGGGGAGTGAGTGAGGCCGATTCCGGTGACTGCATTCCCGCCGCACTTAGCGCATATAAGCAAGCTGACGTGCCTGAATCTACCACGGTGGCTTGAAGGGCTTCCAAATGACGGGATAACTCAGGGAGTCAAGCTGCAATGGGACCTTCTTAGTGTGGCTGGTATGAAACTTCCCCTTGTTTCTGTGAAACCCTGATTCTTTGTGCGCGGACCCGGCGTGCGTGTGGCATGCACAAATTGGCTGCTTAGTCTCGGCGCGCTATCCCATCTTCAGTTTTCTCGACTCTGTCCTGGGTGGGGAGATTGCGATATATGCTGTGCACGTATACTACCACTAGCAATTAATTTAAGCGCAAGTCGCCGCCCCTGCGGCTGCCATGCTGTGGGACATACAGTGGACATAGTCGTTCGCGACTGTCGAAACTGTCAGATGTGACAGGAGGCTTTTTACGCCTTGCCGCATTGTTGTCTGACCTTGGAAAATTAATGGTCGAGGTTAATTCCAAAGGGGGAGGAATTTGGTGATGGCACTGCTCTTATAAGCGTGCAGATTCTATCAGGGTAGGTTTATAAGACCGAATTTCCCAAATGGAAGTGCCCGTCAATTATTAACAGAGTACTGGAGGGAGTGGGCAGAGCTTATCCATGGAAAACTGCTACGTCAATAACAACAGTGCTCGATGTCGTAATAGCCAGAACAAGAGGACCTCAAGCAATTGGTGCTAGCCCCTGACAATTCTGATTCCTAGGGGTAAAAGGTGTGGAGCCATTACTACCGTTGGCCTGGAAAGCTTTAGGAGACAGCACTCAGTCGTGCCATTGCATTGTCTTTTTATTGGAATAACAATGTACCTCCTTAGTCTGATTCCTCAAATACAGTCCAGGCATTCCACCTCAGTTAGGCAATTTGTATGACAGTGGTTTGAAGCGGTGTGTTGGAATTGAGGGCAATTTGCCAATGTCCCCTCCGGGCATAAGTAAGGGAAGAAGGAGATAGTTTGATTTTCATCTGCGAAGTGTCATGAAATTTATACGAGAAATTCCTACATTTTTCGACCGTCGACCTTAATCCTGGAAGAACATTTATGCCATGAAGTTTTATTTCCAAATAAATCCATGAAAGAGACCTAGATATTCGTAGTTGGGAGGGACTCCCACAGTGCGCAGGGACACATTGTCAGGAACTAATAATGGGTGATGGTCTGGGTGGTCATCACACTAGGAGAGTTGCCTATCTGAGAAAAGACAAGGCATTATCAACATCAAGGTATCCAACGACAATCGGAGGTATGTTTTCAAATGCAAAGGCACACACCGACACCCAATCGACAGAGTAATTTTTTAGGACAACGCTTCTATTTATAGCTCAGAAGAGGAGTGACTGCTGAAACATTTCTTATAGCAATCTGACCTACCTCTCCGCCTATGGCCTAAGGACAATCCTTATTTCTGCAAGCTGGGCTGACTAGAATTTTGTTGAAGTTTTAGTGGCGTTTATCTAATGGGGTCTGGACAAGAAAAAAACTTTGTTTACTATGTTGGAATTGAGTCCACGGATCGGGTTACAAGCAATGCTCGTCCGGTTGTGCCTGGAGGCTCAACCTTGGGTCCACAAGGGCAGTCGCATAGCGACCATGGATATATGCCGAAGGGAGTATCGACAAGGGCGAGGGAGGCTGGAGTGGGCGTTTTTGGCCTATCAGGCATCATCAGCCAGTCATACCTAACCCCAGGTTTGGAGCTCCTGGAATTCAAACACAGGATCATTGGACATTGAGTCAAACGCCCCACGACTGGGTCGCGGGCCCGTTGCCCTGTCGGTCGTGATCGGGAATGTCAATTATGTTGGAACTCCATTCATCGGTCAGGCTACGAAACATGCTCGTATCGTTGTCTTCCTTGTGTTTGTCGGTACTTCATGAGGTAATAAGGGGTCGTGAACGTGTAGTATAGACATAAGGAATCAAAAACAATCATAATGGCTGCGCGAGACCACCATTCATGAAGTATTCCTGGAGGAGTAATCCAATTGCTGAAATTGAAAACTGCGCAGTGTTTATAAAACCACCAGTTTTTCGCGTATCAGGGCAGCACTACCACTTAGCCTATAACAGACTCGCCGTGTGAGTTGAGAAGATTGATATCTACAACTGATGGACACGGCCGTAATAATTCAGAAATAAGGCACCTAACGCGAACATGGGAGAAGGGGGTTGACATTTTGACTGAGTCTCACTGCAGACAAGTCCAGTATATTAGGTGGCAGCAGTTTTGCAGGTTTAGATAGAAAGGTAAAAAAGTCAGCCTCGTCAGGAGCTCTTGTCCCTACGCCAAAGCCCCTGGATACTACCCGCTCCGACGCCTTCGTTATACGACGTCTGCAAGGGCATGTTGGTGGACTACCTGGACTGTAAGCCCTCGACCGCGACTCGAGCCTTGAGATGGTACAAAAAAACTGCCAGGCGACCAGTTTTGCAGTGTTTGTGTGTGGGAAAACCATGCCACTCACATGCAATCTAAGCAAAACAGAGAGGCTAGTGAAGAACTGTGACTAACTCGGGAAAGCTGTAGGTTGAATTCGGAAGCAAGGAGACACGAAAGCCCTAAATCACGTGAGAAACGCCAGTGAGAGAATAACGATAGAGAAGTGGAAGAGAGGAAGTAAGAGGTGACACTTCAGGGGACAGTGCTGCCACCACATGTACTCACGACAGCCAGGGCGCAGAGCACGTGGCTTAGTACGTGCGCGTTCTCAGCACGTGAAACACGCATAGCGCGGAGGCGTCTGCCTGAGTGCGTGTCGGGTGAAGAAAAAAGGTTGATGGACAGCATATGCACGGAAAATATGCCAGTGGCTAAAATTCATCACAGCACTTACGTCCTTGGTGGTAGAGTTGCTCCAACGCGCCGGCTCCCATCTGGTGGCTCTGCAGTGAGAAAGGCAGAGAGGGGGGAGAGTAAAGTTGGGGTCAGTGAAACTACTGGATGTAAAGCTCAGTTTGATGAATAAAAAAGTGAAGAGTGTATCTACTGTTGCATAAGGTGAGACCAATGTCCAAAACCCACATTGATGTAATTGGGAATTAGGTGCACAATTAAGGGGGTCTTCAGAAAAGTCCTCTCCCTTAGGGCGAGAAACTAGAAATGTTTTGTTGAACACATCGGAAGTCAGGCGAGGGAAACGCTGGTTCACCACAACCACGCATAAAAATTGTCCCAGGAATTCGACTTACGCTTTGAAGTAGATTAAGAAAACGACTTCTTACATTTATATGATCAGGATGAAGTGGTAGGATGTGCGTCGCAGTGTGAAGATTGGTATCAAACAATTTTATAAAGATGGCTCATCAAATTCTAGCATTAAAACGACCCCTAGGATAAGAAGGTAGAACAGGCAGCGTATAATAGTGAGGGAGACTGGGGCAACATCGACCTGTCTCTTCCCGTTGGGAGGCATGACTAAGTCAAGACGCGTGCCATCCCTCTGGGCCTAACATATGAACTTACTAGCGTTAGAGAGACATGCCTGTTATCCTCATTCGGTTTCTCCTGCTATCGGAAAGATTGCAAGAGCATGACCGCTGGGCTCCGCATGGCTAATAGGCCCAGTTGGAGGCTGGGCGTCACGTGATTTCAGAGCGAAATATCCACATCCTGTAAGCAACCACTAGAGACTGCCCTTCTTTGAGCACCATAAAAACTTTACATAGCAATTAGTTAATAAGATCACTACGGTCGTAAAACGAAGCAAACAACACATGCAAGTAGCGGATACATAATACAAAGGAAGAAATCCGGCAAACCATCGGCAGGTTTGAGAAGGTTAAATATCCCAGCCTTGTGGGGAAACACTTAGTAGAAAACCTGCTTTCTTAGAGGTCACTTTTCGAAAATAACCCCAAACGACTTAGAACACAAAGACCCGGCTTTTGAATTTGGGTACCGCTCGATTATCTTACAAAAATAAACGGCTCAATGGACAGGGATCTCACTAATACTTGCTTCCAGAGTAAAGCACATGTTGAACCTGAAAAATCAAACGACGGAGTCGACTTGAGAGGTTTTCATGCACGGTTGGTATTCAAAATGTCAGAAGCTATAACATATGTTTAAGCCTCATCATCGCTCCGACCGCCCTGCTTGGTAGAAAGAGGAGGGGTAGTACGATAAAAATATAGTTATGGGAATAAGGTCATCGAGGCAGAGAGGACTAGCTGAACTGCGGGAGAAATTATCACTGTGGAATGTTATTGAGAAAAATTAACAGTCTAAGGTATCCGTTTGACTCGAATAAACTGCATTTTCAGGTAGCAAAACGCTCGGACTGCCGTTCTTGAGAGTGGGAAAGATTTCGAAGCAAAGTAGCACTGGGATCAAGTCTAAATGATAAACTACACGTTAGAAATTCGTGAACGCTGATTGAGTGCATGAACACCCAAGGGTCGAGAAGAAAACTTATGGAATTTAGCTGTCGAACGATTTGACTATTTGCCTGGTCGGCCAAGCTGAAGTAAAAAAAAGAAATGAGAGCCAGGAGATACTATCTTTTTTCGCTAACCCAGTAGTGATAACTCCCCGACATAGGAAGGTATGAGTAGAGAGATACATATAATACTTAATTTATGACCGCGTTGGTCACAAAACACTGTGTGACGACGACAACTACTTCGAGAGACGCCCCTACAGATCCATTTTGTTTGTACAAAGGTACAGAAGCTTTGTAGTTCGGAGGAAAGACTATCGCATAGCCTAAAAATCAGGATGAACACAAATGCTGCGTTGGCTACAAAGTTGCGTAGCATGCGGGCGTGTAGCTATTCTGAGTCAGGTTAACACTTGAAGGACATGTCCCCATGTAGGTTATTAAAGATCGACGACGGACAGGCCAGACGTACATGCTATTTTGCAATTAGTAAAAAAATGCAAATACGTCCTTGAAACTTGTCGAATAGGGTCATTTAAGTTTTTAGGTTCTCTAGATAATATCCGCGCCCAATGCAGAGAATGTGTAGGAGACTAAAGCATAACGGGGTTACCGGTAAACGTCCGATGTTAAGGAGAAAAAACCAAATCATGCGGCACCAACACTTAACCACATGAGTCAGAGGGATGTTGGCCCAAAGCAGTGCTCCCTGACTGACTTAAAATTCCCAGAAATCAATCTGCTGGTCTGCAAAAGAATCGCCGTGGTCATCGTTTCTGGCGAGAGGTCTACATCAAACCATCAAAACTCAATCCACCGCATCAAATGACAAGAGAACTTTGTCAAGGCACGACGTGCACTAGAAAGCAAAGTCTACTGATTTGGCTGTGTGGCTACGCGGAGACCATAAGAATGGGAATGCATTCTGTTACAATGCTACTACAGCACGTTGTCCTGCATCATTTAATTAAACAGCTGTATTTTATTCCAACTTGTAAACACGTGTCCATTGATAACCGAACCAGTTCAGTTTATCAGTCCTTCCATACTCTTCACTGAAGCCTTAAACGATATCTTTTAGAAATATTCCACTATATTTAAGTAGATAACGTGTGAAGATGAATCCAGGTCAGTCAAATAGTGTTTTAAGGCGTCTGGACGAGAGACCTTGGAAAGTTTAGTCCAAGCCAGGATACTACGCCATATTTAGTGCTTACACGGTCGTGGAATCGTACGTGATTTAGTAGTAATATTCAGCAGCCATCTCATGTTCCTGTAAAGAGAGATGGTAAAATACAGAGCCTGATCAACGCTTTCTTAAGTAGTCCTAGCATAAATTAATTGCCACGTCCCCAGGTTCGTTCAGTTATGTAAGTTGAAAGTCGTCGTACACCGTCGAACATTTTCGTTCAGCCAGCGGGCTGTCAGACCGTGGAACTCGCTTCCAAGCGAGATGATGACGGCTGACACAATTTGTATGTTTAAAAGCAAACTTGCTCGCCTAGTTTTCAACAGAAATCGGCTTTTACAGCATGACTACGCACAGCCAGTCTTGTAAAAAAACTGTCATATACAATCCCTCCGCAATAATTTACAGTGACCTTATGCACTACCTTATGATTACGATTGAACTGCGACCCAATAACATTGTAAATGCCTGCAATTTTATTTTTGAGAACGAATCTGCGAAAGCACTGTACATAAATAGGGTCATCAAGGGCTCTGCCTCTAACCCTCTAAATATGCTGACTTCAAGTGACAAACAGGTCCTCATCGGAGCAGAGACTACGAATGACGGTGGCAGTTACGGTCTTCACGAGACTTAGCCAATGTTTTGGGCTTTGAGATACAGACGAGGTAATCTGAAATTCTAACATGCTTAAACACTAAACTGGCACGTATAAATTACGCTAACAACTGTTTGACCGGACATACCCGACAAAGAAGACGGTAGCTTATCCATTTACATCGGAATTCGCCTATCATATAGGAATAGTCAGCATCTACATATTCCGACATGGAAGGCCTGAATTGCGAAGTTATAAATAAGGTGTTTGGTCGCGCAATAAAATCAACTAATTTTCGGAAAAAACAATTCAACAAATCCCTATGCCGGAAATGACAGGCATTAAGACATGTAGCGTGGGAGCAAAAAGAAAAGGGAAACTGAAAGCCATGGCTTGCATATAGGAAAGGCTGAGATAGAGAGTAGATATTTTCTGATAGGAAAGTTAGGGTTAGGGTGGTAAAGCTAAAGACAGCAGGCTAAAATTCTAGCGGGACAAGGCGTTTCGCTATTGCTTTAGAATGGAAAGATGAAAAACGAAAAAAAATCAGCATATGAACTCACCTCTTCAACCATACCAACCATTCTCTGCGTACTTTCAAGCGACTTCAGAAGGCTAGATGTTAAATTATTTGCCTACCTCATCGGTCCTCTTATTCATTTGCTGTCTAATTAATTCCAATTCCGACATCGGTTGATTAGTTGCCTATAGCTTAGGTAAGAAATCTACGTGATCGGATACCATTATAAGCCAAGTGTCACACAAGGCAGCGGAAATTGCCAATAAAACAGCGACGATGAAATGACACACGATATTCGATTTGGCGCTTTATAATACACCATAAAAAAAGGAGGTAGAAATTAAATTTTGCATCAACGTGCTATGGAAAACTCAACTCCCTCTCCCAACTTATTTTCAAAAAACTAATGAACGTGCTTGCGATGAAAGTGGTGTTTTTCGTAACATGAAAACAGCATTATTTGAATTATTTTGTTTCATTGTTTGCATTAATAGGCAGTCAATAGGGGGCTGTACAGCGTGCTGTGGGCAAGGATGTACGTTGACGTTAAACGGTCACTCTAGGTTCATTGATTCGTTTGAACGCATGTTGCAGAAACTTACACGAATGGCTAGGCCCTGCTGCACGTACAGTGCCGACAATTATCATACACGGAAATATAACGTAAATAGTAAGAAGTACCCATAAGCAGTACGTTCACAGTCTCCGCGGAAGACATCAATGGTCCCGGTGGATACTTCTGCGTCTCACCTTCTCCGAACCTAGCTCTACTGTCTGCCTCAGCGAAGCCTTCCAAGGCTCAGCGCAAAACCCCATAACCGCCTTTGATAGTGTGCTTAACAAGATTAGGATGTCCAGCGTACTTGCATCTTCACACCCGCTATTCTCTGAACTTATTTCCATCCTCCCTTACCACCTCAAAAATTCCTGCGGAGAGGGCCATATTTAATCCCGTGAATACCACATTAAGCAACGTTTGTGGCCAATAGTGACATTAGCCAGCCACCCTGGGATAATTAAGCAGTCATAAGTAGGAGTAGAACTGCTAACCCCCTCGCAGGGGGAGGGTGCCAGAAATGACAAACGAAAGAAATGTTGGCAAAACACGCCGCCGACAAGCCGATTCTGACTAGAGGGCGTAAAGAGTACGGTCGAAACAAAATACAAAGCAGTAACCATTCCCGTCACCATGCCAATATCTCCTCACAGGTTGCAAGATTGACACTGCCTACTCTAACGGCCTAGAATGTTCTTTCTCTCTTAGACAGTCCGAGGATGAACCATCTGAAATGGAGGATGGTTCTTGCCACTTTGGCAATTGGCTCACTACAAGTTAAAAATTGTGGCCCATAGTGAGACAACCGAAGTAAGTGGGGGCCAAAAAATATTCTTGGATGCAGACATGCAAGGCAGGGTGACGAGAAGCCAGACCTGTCCTCAGCATTAAGAAGGACGTCGTGAGATGACTGTCTCGTCTGGCACAGGGCGCTGATGACCGACTTATGATGGGACACCAGTCTGCTCACTTTTGTGCATGGTCATTTGTCCAGCACAAATCGACAGGAAACTTTAGATGCGGGACTGGAACTCCATTACACGAAACATCGCTAATCCAACCGTGATCCAGCTGCAGAACCGTGTAAGTCCCCTTCAGGGCAGGGACGTTAAAGCTGGACCGCTGAATGTGGCCTGCAAATACAGTCACTGGATAGGTGAATTTCACGTTTCGATGGTTCGTTGTACTATGTTAAGTTACTGGTCACGAGCTGTCTGTCGTTTAGAATTAATCTAGGTCACATGATGACAGCAATTATTTCGTGAGAAAGTGGAGAATGCTTGCAGTAGGCCGTCCGCGTTGGATATCTTTCTACAACTAGAAGTTCTCCCTGGCCCAGTCCTATTCTTTCGCCGTTCAAACACCCCAGTAGGCCTCCTCATTTTTAATAGGACAGCCGAAACTCTAAGTCACCCTTCTGATCGCTTTATTTCGTTCGTCCTTATTCGCATGAGCTTTATAGACCTAAATATACATTTTAAATGCCGTGGCCGAGCGAGGTGGCAGTGAGGATGTCGGTAGCGCTCGCAAGACAGGACCACACAGGTGGCGATGGTCGGTGTTTGGAACCCTCGTCGTGAAACGATAATGACCAGCTCAGATTACGGAAACCGATTTCGCGAAAGGTTTTTCTCGGAGTGTTGAAATAGGGCCCGACTATCCAAATTGTTGTTAATGAGAATCCGGCAGGCTGTCCAACAAAATTCGCTCTAAGCGCGTGAGACATGGTAACTTTGCATGCGTGGAGGATATTATTTTTAGTGGTTTTTCTGTGAGATCTAACGATTTTAGTACTCGTTTTTTTGGTTGAATTTCCTTAAATACAGGCCTTTTCTCTAAGAACTGCCCGCTGCCATCTCCTTTCGAGTTTTGCTAGTCTACGCCCGCTGTTCACTAATCGCACTTTGCAATTCTCATTTTGTCCATCCGATTTCTCTCTAACTGTTGTAATTTATTTTTACATCGTTAGCCCCTAGCTGAAATTCAGTCAACTTGTCTGCCAGAAGTTCTCTTAATCACAAATTGCCTCGAGACAAGATGAGACCAAAAGTCACTGGTCGACGTAAGCTCTCGGCTCTTGTAAGTAAACATGGCCTAACTAAACGTAAGTCAGAAGCTTTACCTAAGTCTAAGTCAGATGATATTACTAGTCAGTCGTCACCCGTTGTAATTGGTCGGCAGCTTAATCTGTCTGCACTTGACCACTGCAATGACTTTATGCTAAAGTTTGGCTCTTTGCTGACAATTCTTGGACATTTATTCGACGGGAACATCTCCGATATTCCCTCTGAAGAATGTAGGCGTCTCGACTCACTTGTTCACCTGATCGCCACTGAATCTAGTGATAGACAGAAGCGTTCTTACGACTTCCTGCTAAAAAATGTTCCTCGATCTGCTCGGCCAATTAATGTTGCGACCAGTTTCCTGTATTCATGTGGTTTCAACTATAAAATAGCGGATGCCAAACGCTTGTCATCCCGTAGTACAAATCCACCCATCTTAGTCAAGTTGTTTTCATCAATCGAGGTTGACACAATCTTTACCCACCGAGAGCGTGTCACTGCGTACCTAGAGAAGGCAAAATTTTTCCTTTGTCATGATCTTACTCCTATGGAGCGTAGAATGGGGTCTCTATTCTCACGTAAACCTACTGCTTCTCAGTCTAATGCTCCTCAACTCGGTCATAATACAAGTGGCCGTAAGGATTCAGCTTCTCAGTCTAATGCTCCCCAACTCGGTCATAATACAAGTGGCCGTAAGGATTCAGCTTCTCCTACTCCTGCGACATCTGACTCCCTCCTTCCTCTTTCTCC